CCCCCGAGCCTGCGGGCGGGAGAATTGGTGCCAGCCCCGCAGCGCAGGGCCGGAGACCTGCCCCCGGGCCCGCCCGGCTCCAGGATCCCGGCCCGCCTTGATTTCGGGCCGGGACCCCCTGCCCCGCCCGAGCTGAGGAGGTCTCGGACCCGGGGACCGAGCCCAGGAGTCCTGGCTCCCAGCTCCAGTGCTCGGAACCCGCCGGACGCCTCTCCCCTCGCAGAGCTGGGCAGAGAAGAGGTGTCCCGGCGCCCAGCACCGCCCCCCTTCTGCTGGGGAGAGAACCCAGGCGTCCGGGCTGCTCCCCTCGCAACCGGAGCTGAGCGAAGCTGGCTCTTGGTGACGCCGCTGCCCACCCCCTCCTGCCAAGGGCTCCCTCACACGTCCCCATTAAATGAAACCGAAGCGAGAAGATTCCATTAAATGGCTGCAAATAAATTAACAGAGCGTAATTGCTCGGGGAGGCACGAGCAGGCTCCGGGAGCTAATTGAGATAGGAAGTCAGGAGTGACACCTTGGCAGAATCAGCTCCAGCGCCCCCTCCTCACCATGCCCGGGGGCATCCAAAGGGCACAGACTGCCTCTCTGCACAGCCCCACCTCCTTGTGGGGTCAGTGCCCACTATGCACATAGTTGGGGCCTGCCCCCCACCTTCAGCTGAGTGTCAGCTGCTGCCCCTGAAATGAGCAGAACCCTTTTCCCCAAGCAGGGCTATAACCACAGCAGGGCAGGGGGCCTTATACTTTGATCCAGGGCTCGAGGCAAAAGGGATAGAGAACAGACACCACAGCCAAGATCCGATGCTGGAGTCCCCAGCCCCAGCCCCTTTCTCTGCCCAGGAGACCCCCACTCTCTACGCCCTCCCATGCTGTTCAGAACACCCAGCATCCACAAAGCTAACCCCAGTGCTGCCCCAATCCCTCTTCCATGCTGCCCCCCTGGGGACAAGAGCAGTGGCACGGGGATCAGAGGGAGACATGGGGCCAAGGACATGTGGTGCTGGGTGAACACGCTACACACACCAGGTTCTCACACCTATACTACCCCGTACAGTGCCTGGCGCCACAATGAACACCTTCAGGCTTGCTATTAAAACAACACAGACGCAGCTGAGGCTCCAGGTCAGAGACAGGTGTTTAATAGCCACGGTTGTTTCCAAACACGACCGTGAGTCTCACCCACCGCTTGCCTTTGCTCCAGGGATGCAGAACGCCGGAGGCTGCCTGGAGTGGATTCAGGCCATTTGCTTGCACCGCCCATTACTGTAGCCGAACACGGTGATGATAGGAAGGTCCCCCCCTTCTCGTTGTCTGTGCTCTCAGCCGTGTCACATTCATCCCGAGCAGGACAGCAGCGGGGAGCAGCCAAGTGCCCCCCTTCTCAGGCTTCTCACTGGTGCGTCTCCTGGATTTCTGACCTCCAGGGCAGGAAATGTCACCCCAAGCATGAAGAATCACCCCCCTCCCCACCCCTGCCCCTACTCGCACACAAGCCAAGAGCAACTCACCAAGAACCACGTGAAAGAAGCCTGTGTTCCACCACACCCCTCAAAGACCGCTCAGTCTGTGTTTATTTGCCACCGAACCAAAACGAAACCGAAAAGAGAACGAACCGCAGTCAGCTTGGACGAAGCAGCAGCAGCAGCAGCAGAGATCCATGCGCCATTCACCACAGGAAGAAAGGGACGAGGAGCCTCAGGGCCCCACGCTGTTGAAAGCGGGGCTGAGGCCGGCGTGTAAAAATAACCGATTACGACGGGGAGTGGGGGGCGTTCAGAGCTCACCCGAAGTCTTTATGACGTGGAAGAGGGTGACATTGTACAGGACCTGGTGGCCGTTGTTCCAGGTGTACAGCACCCGCTCCCGTGGGTTGTAGTCCAGCATGGAGATGTGGGAGTACTGGTTGTGGAAGGGGATGTCCGTGTATTCATAGCTGGAAGTGTTCGTGTAGTAGGCAAAATAGATCTTGGCACCGGCCAGGTGGGAGTTGGTGACATAGAGGGTGCCACAGATCATGAAGGCCTCGCCGGCACTGCGCTTGGGGTAGCCAGTGTCCCAGCTGCGCAGGACCTCTAGCGTGTGTGGGTCCACGCGGCTCACCACGATGTTGCCGGCATTCTGGTTGGTGGTGTAGACGGCCCAGAGCCCATTCTCATCCACCATGAAGTCGATGTCAGAGAAGCCACCCCATGAGTAGGGGAAGGTGTTGTTGTAGCCAGCACCACTGAGGCTGCGCTGCACCAGGATGCTGCGGGAGCGGAAGTGGTACTTCACTGCCACATTGCTCTGGTACTTGTTGTAGTAAAGTGAGCCGTTGAACACCACGTGGCCCGTCCCGGCCCAGGGGTGTGGCAGCAGGTGCTGCACGAAGTTCTGCCCCGTCACAAAGTCGTTCAGTGTGCGGAACTCGAGCACGCGTCGCCCCTTGTAGTAGCCATCCATGTACCAGACCTGGGTGGGCGAGAGCCGCACAGAGGTTAGAGGCATCTCAGGCAGGCAGGCAGAACCCCCTCACTGCCTGCCCCACTCAGGGACTTCCCCAGGCCCTGAGACAGCCCAGGGGCAGAGACACCATGGAGACCTTGCAAACCTCTGGGGAGGGGGGCTCCAGTTGTACGTGTGGGGCATTGCACCCTGAGCAGGGCTTGGGGGCCAGCTTTGCTAACAGCATCCTCCACCTGCTGCAGGCAGCGATGGCCCCTCCACATGCCATGCTGTTGCTTGGGGCTGCAGCATCCCAGCCCCACTCAAGAGCCGGAGTCAATGCACAGTGCATCCCTCAGGATCGAGATTCAAAGCCAACAGCAGCCCCAGTGCTGAGTGTCAGCTAGTCCAACACATTGGCTTAATTGCTTCAAAGGAGAATGAAAAGGGAGTGAGTGCATGTTCCTCCCCCCACAGGCTTCAAGTTGCCAGGTCCCCCCGCAGCAGGCAAGAACATGCCCTGCAGCAAAGTCTGTGCGTGGGGCCCTGCCTGCTTTGTAGAGGAGCTTCTGAGTTCAGCCCTATGGGGGAAGAGGGATGGGAGATGCACAGAGGAGCCAGCCCCAGCCAGGGAGCATGCAGCTGCCTCCCTGTGGAGGCAAATGTGACTGCAGAGGGGAGGCATCAGCAGCCACTGCAGAGTCCAGGCAAACTCCTGACACTGGCTGAGAAGACAAGAAGCTTTTTCCCTGCTCAGTCAAATGCTCCAGTCCTTGCCAGGGCCCAGCCTGGTCCCTCCAGAGAACACAGGCTGAGATTCTCAGGCAGCCTCCAGATGCTGGCAGCAGGGAAAACCTGGAGGAGTCCTCTGGCACAGAGGGGACCCATTTCCTGGTGCAAGGTGAAGGAGGGAGGGTCACTGGCTCAGGGTAACAGCCCCTCCTTCCCCTGCACCCAGGGCTCTAGCTCAGCCTGGTGATAAATAAAAGGCTGATGGTGTCTGAGCCAACGGCTCCTTACTTCCTCTCAAGGCTTTAAAAAATCCAATTTCTCCCAGTGCTGAGGGCGACAGCCCATCCATCAGCGCCACCCAGGCCATAAATAACGATGTGCCATTGGAAGTGATGCCTGGTGCCGCCATCCATCCCCTGCCCTTGCTAATCACCCGCGCTGCTCCTAGTTGTCCATGCAGGGCAAGCATTCCCCTGGGGTGCCAGGGAGATAAGGGGCCTGGGCCTAGGCCTAGGCCTGAGCCTGGATTGGGGTCCCCTATGCCAAGCGCTGCACAGACCCAGGGGAAGGGGCAGCCCCTGCCCCACAGGGCCCCAGACTGCCCACAAGGCTCCCCAGACAACGCACCACAGACAGCCAAACCCCAGCCCCACGGCTCATGGAGAAACACCCCAGACACCTTTTAACTCCATGCTCCATGGCCTGGCAGCCTGCAGCAAACCCCAGTTCCCCGTCCCCTCTGAAAGATGCTGTTTCTAACCCAGAGGCTTTTTAGTTGGCATATAAATCATCCTAAAGCCAACGGAATTAGGCCAGCTGAAGACCTGGCCCCCAATCTGCTAGTGAGCACTCCCTTGTCAGGAAGTCCCTACCTGTGACCAGTCACTGGGGCCCTGTCAGCTGCACAGGGTTGGAGGGGTGGGGGTTTCTGGAAATGACAAATGCAAAACTTAATGGGGAGCATGAGGAGCTGTGGCTCTGGCCCCAAATTTCTCCCTCCAGACTAAGACCTATACATGGAGGATGCTCCTGGCAGCTAGTGTGCTGGCATTTATCACATGTCCTTTGACCCCACTGCAGCAATCCCAGCCTCCCTCTGCCTCTGCTGAGCTTATGACACAGGAAGCTGAACATCAGCAACGGATGTGCCAGCCCCTGATGAATGTTTCTCCATGTTGGATTAGACTTGTTTCTCTTTCTCTTCATCCCCCATGTGCCCCACACACCAGTGTCAGGCTAATTTCTAATGAAAAGCCATGTTGTGACAGAGGGACCCAGCATTGGGGATTTTGCAGCTGGGGGATGTCCCAGTGAGAACCCCTCAGCAGCCTCCTACCCTGATGAGCCTCAGTGCCTTGGGTAGCAGTCACAGCTGCTTTCTATGGGGCAGGGAGGGAGGGGAAGGTGCCCCTGTCAGGAGGTGCACGAGCAAGATCCTGGTGCCAGTTCTGGGCTTTGCAAAATTTGGACTTTTGGGGGCTGCTCTGAGCTCTCACAACCCCAGGAATGAGCCATTTTTGTGGCCAGGCCCCCAAATTGCCAGAGGAAGGGTGTGGTGGACCGTGGGGAATGTGGCTTCAGTGGGTAACCCTAGGGGTGATGTGAAGGCCGGGCAGCCCCCAGAGCTCCCCACAGCTTACCCCTGTAGCACTCACCCTGCTGTCAGCACTGGGAGCCATGGTGTCTGTCATCCAGGACCCAAAGCGTGACCCTGAGGCCCGAATAGTGATGGGGTTGCTGACACCTGTGAGCTTCCCACAACCTGGGCAAAGAGAGAAGAGAGACCAGTTACAGCAGAGAAGAGAGGCTGGTCATGGCAAGGATGCCTCCCTCAAGGCTGTGATGGAAGCAGGACCCCATGGAGCCCCCACAGCCAGGCAGAGGCTACAGCCACTCCCAAGCACCCTCAAGGGGTAGGCATCAGCTCCCACCCCAGCAGGCCAGGAGCAAAGTGGGTGATAGGTATCTGGACAAGCACACAAACAGGTGCTGGCAGGCCCCCACCCTGCTCTCAGTAGGGTGTGTGGCTGTTCCACATGGGGGCATGTGTGGCAAAAGCCAGGTTCACATGCATGTACCTGTGTTCCCACTGAGCGTTTGCTCCTCTTTTTCCAAATGTGATACTGGGAGGCCAGAGCTACAAGAGCCCCCAAACCAGGAGAGCTCCAAAGAGGGAGGGTGGGGGGTACACATTCATCCCTTTCCCCAGCACCCCCTGGGGTTCAGACTGTTCTCAGCTGCTGGCCCAGCCCTGCTCAGCATTGCCAGCTCTATGATAAAGAACCAGGCACTGCCAAGATGGAGATCACTCATCCTGGGGCTAATCGAAGCTGACACCAGGCAGCCGCCTGTTTCCTTTCACGGCACACCACTGATTCCACCATCATTGTGCCTAGGAACAGAAGTGGCTGCACCAGGCTGGGGGCAGGGAGATAGAGTTGCAGGGGGGCAGAGCATGGCAGCTTCCCCAGGCAGGCAACAGAACACCATCTGCAGTTTGGGGGGCAGGGGGTGGAGCTCACAGAGCCCCCATGCAGGAGATAGCTAAAGTGAGCTCAAAGGAAGGGGCACTGCAGTCACTGCCCATCTACCAACTTCCAATTTGTTGTAAGCAGGTGCCAGCCTGAGGTTGCCCAGACCTATTTCACTGGGTCACAAGTTGCCTTGACTTGCAGGGAGCATTGCAGCTGGGGATAGAATCCAGAAGTCCTGGCTCCCAGCCCCTCCCAAATACCTGGTGGGCAGCAACAGTGAAATTAACACCACCACTGCAGGGACCCGAGTCACTGGAAAGACCCTATGCACATGAAATGGGTGCACACAGGGCTCAAGATGCACCAGAACATGCATGAGCCAGGCCTGGGGAGTAGCAGGGGCTGGCAGGCAGGGGCAGCCCCAGGTAGGCACAGTCACATGCACGGGGGGAGGAAGAGGGCACATACCCAGCTTCTGCATACAGGCATGCAGCCGGGCCTCCAGCACCATTACGCGCTGCTGCAGCTCCTCATAGTCATAGGCGCCCATCTCCTCCTGGATGGCCAGCAGGCTGCCTGACAGGTTCCGCACCTCCTCTTTCAGCTGCACAATGGTGCGTGTGTCTGCTTTGTACTGGTCCAGCACCGGGATCAGTGGCAGCAGCTCCGTCATCTTGTCCTTCAGCTCCTGCCAGCACAGAAGGAAGGGGCACAGCGTCACTGCTTGGCTCCAGCCTGTGTTCCCCTTCCCACCCTCAGGCACCTGGGAGGGTGTGCACACTGGTATCTCAAGCTGGTATCTACATGTATACACACACGTTTACCCCCCCACCCCCATAGTTGGCTGCCTCTGTTCAGGCAACATCCAAGTCTGGAAGCTGTACACAGCCACAGCTCAACCTGCGGCCGGGACCCATGCCCAACCCCACTGAGCAGCCTGCTGCACAGACACCATGTGAAGCAGCCACTGTCCCAGCCCAGCTGCATCCTGGCCGCCTGTTATCCCCATGCCCTTTACTGCACCTCTTGCCACAGCCTCAGCTTCAAAGGCTGGAGCTCCATCCCAGGGAGGGCTTGTGGTGCGGAAGGCCTCCCACCAGGCTCTTCAAAGCTGACTGGTAATTGCTGCTGCATCTTTTATGATGGTTGCCTCAGGGGAGTGAGAACCCAGGCCTTGCAGAGGACAGGGGTGCCAGGAGCCTGTTGTGGGGCCAGGCTGGGATGGGGGGAGCTGCCAGCTCGTGGCAGTGCTCACATGGAGCAATCAGCCACGACCCTGAACACCTATCCCGCTCCCGATCCTCCCTGGTTCACCCAGCACAGAGGGCAGCTCCAGCCATGGAGCCAGAGCCATCCCCAGCATGACTCCCAGCCCCCACCCTCGCCTGCTCTCTCTCTCTGCGATTTCCCAGCAGGCATCCTTAGGCCATAACTCCTGCGCTTGATGGGATTGCATTCCCATCTCTGGGGCCAGGCACCTGCCGCTGTGATTAAACCAGCTGCGGCATTCACTACAGCTTGGACATTTAATCAATGCCTCGTCTCTGCAGCTGTCAGCGATGTGGCCCTACTACCACTCCAGCTCCCCCCGCCCCCACCCCACTTCCTTTGGCCTGGTTTCAGCACTCGAGACAGGCAGCTTTGGAGAGCTTCATCCATCAGGGAGAAGCTGTGCGTTTGGGGGTGGGGGGCGGGCTGGACTCCATGCTCAGGGCTAGGGGAGGAAGGGGGGGTGTCTGGAGGGTCCCACACAAGTGGTGTCAATCACCACAGTTGGCAGCTGTCACCTGTTGGGCAGCACCTGGACCTGGGTGGGACACAGCCCAGTGCTGTTGGCCACAGGATCCCCAAGCCAGGCTGGGGATCTGGATGGGCGTGAAGTGCAGGGGCAGGGGCCAGGATCCCTGGCTGCCTTTTCTCTGCTCCGTCTCAGCCCTTGGTCCAGGTGGGCAGTGCTGGTTTCAGCTTAGCAGCTTTTGCATCCCTGGTGCCCTAATGGGGTCAGAGCTGGCACAGCCCCGGTCTCATGGAGAGGCAGAGGGAATAAGGGGGACCAGACTGGGGCCAGTGACTTTTACCCTGGGCTAGGGCTCTGCACCATGAAAGCAACAAGTCTCTGGAAAGCTGTTGAGACTGGGACAGCTTTGAGGCAGGGGCTGCTACTCTTTGTTCTGTGTCTGTGCTGTGCCCAGCACAGGGCAACACTGGTCCCTGCTGCTGACCAGGATGTTCACAGCTGCTGGGGACTCTGGGCCCTTGCCTGACACCAGGGCTGTACTGCAGCTGCTCCTGACACCCCAGAGTTTACACCAAGCCCCGCTGCCCCGAGGGCAGTGGTGCCAAGCATCCAGGCACTGGCCACTCTGAGCCCCCGGGCACCAGGGAGGGGGCAGCTTGGGGCAAGCTCCCAGAGCTACCTGGAAGCTCTTTGCATTGAGACTCTTCTGGCTCTCAGTGGCCACCTTCAGCCGGGAGTCCAGCCCCTTCATGAGCGACTCTGTGTTGCGCACATACTGCAGGTCACGGTAGGTCCGCAGGTCCAGCACCTCCATGGACTGGGAGATGTTCTGCACCTGGGGTAAAGGCAGAGCCCAGAAGTGAGAGTAGAGTCCAGCACCACCCCCTTCTCCCCAGAGGCTGGTGCCAGCTTGGCCCCCACTCTGCTCCCATCTCCCAGCCCTATTGTTCCTAGCATGGCTTGTCCTCATCCAGGGCCACAGAAGCCCAAGCTCAGCAGCTCTCAGCATACAGGACCAGCCTGGCAGCAACCCACTGCACGGACTCTGCCTGGCAAAGGGAGCAGGGGGAGGTGGGGGGAGGCCAAGCCGCCCACGCCCCAGTGCTATTAGCAGGCCTTGGAATATGACAGAGCTCTGATTTAATGAGCTAGCTCCAGAGCTGCCTCATTAGTGCCTTGCTCCCCACCTCCCTCCCCAGGAAGGTCACTGGCAGTTTCTCCATCCAGATCTCCCTGAATCCATCTCCATGAGTCCTGCTTCTGTCCCCAACTGCTCCCGCTTTAATAAATGAGGCCCTATCCAGGCTCCTGTCCTTAAGGAAAGGAGGATGGAGCAGAGCAGATGCCAGGCTGGAAGCCCCTTCTTGGCCTGGGAAAGCAGTGGCTGTCTCATGGCTGCATCTGCTGCCCTCCCCAGCTTCATGGAGCTCTGTGATGGGGCAGCAGCAGAGACAGGAGTGGGACCATGCACAGCTGCCGACACCTAGATGATATATGCCCACATGCTCTGGGCACTGTGTCTGTCCCTCCTGACTGGCTGGAGGCTGAGGGGGCTTGGTTAATTGAGGTTTACCTGGTGGTGAGCTGGGCTGGGCTTGGCCCTGCTGTAGAGGCCAAGCAGAGGATGGTGGCAGGCAGCTGGGTCTGGGGCAGACCTGTCCCTGCCCCCTGCTCTCCTGGCACCTGCTTGCTATTTCCCTGCCTGCTTTCTCCACCCTGCTGCTCCCTGGGGCAGGGGCTGCCTCTTGCACACACCTGGGCAGTGCTCAATACAACTGGGCCATTCCCTTCTGGACATGTGTGTTGCATGGCATATGCATGTCCTTATGGGAGAGGGAGGACATTAGGGCACCAGAGGTTTCCTTGACCTCTGAGAATTGGCTCCCCCCCCAACTCTACTCACACAGCAGCAGGGTAGAGGCATGTTTGGGGGAGTGGGCTGATTTGGGCAGCAAGGAAGGCCCTGAATCTGAGCCCAATCCATGCCCCACTGTACAGCCTCTGACAGGGTGCTTTGCAAAAACACTGGCAATAAAAAGACAGTTGTTTCCCTCAGGCAGCAATTCCAGAGCGGGGAGAAGGCAATGGTGGTTCCCCCTACCAGCAGTGGAGGGGCAGCAGCAGCTCCGTCTGCCCCACGGCTGGTTCTGCTGCCGCCCTGCACCCCCTCCTCCACCCTGCTGTGCTCTCTGACTGCCTGTACCTCTACACTACCATTTGACCTTCTGCAGCAGCAGACAAGTCACCTCCTCTGCTGCCTGTATGAGAATGACTGAGTGGTTCAGTGGGACTGAGCCCAGCTGGGGCTGGAGGGCTCTTGCTAGAGGTGAACCTGGCTCCCGGTGGAGTGAGGACAGCTGTAACTGCCACTGCCCAGAGCAGCCAAAGGCCAAGGGAAATCACCGTGCTGGGTGCCACAGCAGTTCCAGCTCCCACAGCACCAGGGTCTGTGGCTACTCACATCAGTCACCACCTGGCCAGACCTGGAGCTCCCTGCCAGCTGCCCCCGTGGACTTGCATTTGGTGGTCCTGGCTGTCCCCACCTCCCACACACTGGATTTGCAGGGTCGTAGCCAGTGAGAGGGGACATCCCTGCTCAGATAGAGTTTGATGCGACTAATAACTACGCAGGTGGATCTACAGTGCCCATCCCCACAGATGCTCCATTAAGTACTAAAAAGACCCCACCTGCATGTCACTGGGAAGGGGAGAGAGGGGGACTCCATCCTGGCCTCTTCCAGGCAGCTGAGGAAGCAATTCTGGCAACAAGGAGCCATCCAGGGGGCCAGGCTGAGCCAGGGGGGTTTCCAAGGCCAGGGATGCCCCAGCTACTGCTGCTGGTCCAGAGTGGAGGCCAAGCCCTGGACACACATGCAGGGCCAGGGCTCTTACCTTCTCCATGAGCTGCCGGAGCTGGCGGCTGCGCAGGTCTCGGGAGCAGGTGCCCTGCACCGGGATGACAGCCGTGCACAGGCATTTGCCATCGGGGGCCTGTGCTGAGGTGTAAACCTGCCAGCCCTCGTCAGGGCTCTGGAAAAGTGTCTGTGAGGACAGGGGGTGGGGAGGAGGCAGGAGAAACATGGTTAGGGGCAGGAACAGCATGCCAGGGTCTGGCTCTGGCTTCAGCAGCCCTCAGGAAGAGCTGCAGCACTGCAGGTGCATCAGGGAATCCAGGCATTGCCTTGCCGCCCCTGCAGGCAGCCCTGCCAGTGCCCACAGTTGGAACCTGAGAGACACGTGCCATGTGTCCTGACTGGCACCCTCCCACCCACCTGCCAGGTGCCCACACGGAAGCAGCAAATGCAAGAGCTGGAGAAATATTTAGTAGCTGGTGGGCAAACAGCAGAGCCTCACTGCAGGAGGGAGAGCAAGGGGAAGGGCATTGCTTGCCTCTGCAGAACCCAGCCCCGCTCCATGACTGGCACAGGCAAGATTTCTGCCCCCCTGCCTGTCTGCCAGCTAGGCCTGAGGCAAACACTGCACCCACAGGCCCAGTTCTAGGGCTGTGGTGGCAAGAGGAAGTTCCTGACATAGGCAATGGCAGCAGTAGAGCTTTTATCCCTCTGGTGCCCAGGTACCTTGGGGGCCAGGATAGAGTTAAACTCCACCCACTATGATCTGCACCTGGCCACAGTTTATCACCAGCACTGGGTAGCTCAGGAGGCCCCAGGGTACTAGGGCATGGGGGCATTGCCTACTCACTCCACCTGGTGTCCACTACAGGGAAGGAGACGCAGGCCTCGTGGAGTTGGCTGCCCAGCAGCTCCCAGCCCCACCCGCCCAGCACCTAGGAGCTCTTACACAGAAGCACCTACATTTGCCCACAGGGACCCTGATCCTGTGGGGGTGGGGGGAACGGCGGGGAGCAGGGCAGCCCTTGAGACAGGGGCAAGCCTGGGTGGGAAAGTGTGAGGAGGTGATGACTAGCTCTGAGAAAGCCAGGCTGCAGCCACAGGCGGCTCTTGGGGAACTCCAGGTGCTGCCCTGCTTCCAACCTCACCCCCACAGCCTGCTGTGTCCCCCACCCCCAAGAGGGCTTCCCCACCAGGCAGCACTTTGAGTTCCCCAAGTGCCATTTATGGCTGCCTGCTTGCCTGGCAGAGACTGCGCTGACCCCAGCCTGACCCAGCACCCTCTTCCCAGGGCTTTCAGCTTCTAGACTCCTCCTGAGCTCTGCAGAGTCTGCCCTCAACTCCCTTCTCCCCCGTGCCTGTTGTAGCCCTTTTGCCACCTTCACGGGATATGCCAGGGACCAGGCCACCTGCTTCCAGGGGTGGTGCCTGCCTATGCAGCACCTGAAGCAGCAGGGCCCTGATCCTGGCTGGTGAGGCTCTAAGAGCAATGAATGAGGCCTCACAGGGCTGGGCGGTTCTGACCTGAAAGCTGGGGCTGGAAGCCACAGAGTTCCTACTGTGTTTCTCTCACCCCATGGGAAGAGCCATGTGCCTCACTTGGGAAAGGCTAATGAAGGGGGAAAAGACCCATCTTTGCAGCAAGTTCCTGAACAGCAGCAGTGGGAAGCAGAGCCCAGCTCATCATCCTGCTCCCTGGAGACCTCTAGGCAGCCTCTACCTTGGCTTTTGCCCTGTCCAAGTTTAAGTGACAGAGCCTACTCGTACCATATTTCCTTCTTTGCAAGTCTCACTCCTCCGCTCCCCTTTCCCAGAAGCTGTGTCTAGGGTGAAGCGCATGTTGCCTGTGACAAAATATGGTGTGCATGGCTGGGGAGACGCCTTTCTGGCTCCTGAACACAGAGTGAGCTGCTGATCCTCTGCAAGAGCCGGAGCAAAGCCAAGGAAGAGGCAGGAAGCAGGTGGAGATCGAGCCCAGAGAGCAAAAGGGGCCTCACTGTGCCCTCCCTCCCCTTCTATTTATAGCTGCTTTCCCTGGGGCTTCCCATCACATCTGGCTGCTCCCTCAGCCATGGCTCCTGCCAACAGATGGGGACAGGCCTGGCCCCTGGACCACAGCCACCTGGGATTACCTCCCCCTTCCCAGCAGAGAGGGTCTCCCATGGATGGTCTCCCACAGATGCTGCTACTCCTGCCTGGTGCCCTCACACCCCCTCCCCCTGGCAGGACTGGGCTCCACTAGAGACTGGGGGGAGCTCTCCCATCCTGCCCAGCCCTTGCTGGGTGTTTTGCTGGTGCCATGCAGAGACAGCAAGTGTCTGAGCTGGGGGTTGCTGCATTGGCAGGCCACTTCATGTCTCAGCTGAGAGATTATACCACCCGCATGATAACTGAGCTGGGGCATCCTAAGGAAGGCTGCCACCCAGCCACACAAGCAGCCAGGGATCCTCCTGGCCCATGGGCCCTGTCATGTACTCACTCAGGAAAGCAGCATCCCCAGGGCCTGCACATGTGTAGGCAGTGGGAAAGCACAGCATGGCCCACGCCGGCTGCTGGCATGGTTGCAGGGCAGCACAAGCGGTGGATGCAGGACCCAGGCATCTTGGTTCCCTGCTCTGTGCACCAGAACCCATCCCCTGCCAGAGCCGGGGCAGGAGCCAGCCTCCCAGCTTCACCCATGGGGCTGTGAATGGCCTGGGCTCACAGCAGAGGCAAGGCCCTGCCTGAGGTGAAGCAGGGCTTGGGGAGGTCACAGCACTGAGCTGGACAGTGCCAAGCTGGACAGGGAATCCTGGTCCCTGGCTCTGACCAGGGACTTCCCCAGGTGCTGGACTCAGCCCCAGCCCTGCCCCTGCTGCCCCTGAGCATCCCTCAGGCTGTGGCTCCTGCTGGAGGGGCAATAACCCCACAATGATGCAGTGAAATGCCCCATGTTGGAGGTTCTGCTGGGGTCTGAGAAGGGTTCTGGGGGCATGGGTCAAAGTGCCCATCGAGCTTGTGGCCAGGGGTGAAGTGGGATATGCACCCCAGGGCCAGGTGGGGAGAGGCTGTGAACAGGAACAACCAGGCTGCTGGAGCTGCCAGGCTGCAGTCCAGCAGGAAGAGCTCCAGTCTGGTGGGGAGGATTGATTCCGGCAGCTAGGGCAAGGTGTGAGCCCAGATGCTCGAGTTCTTCCCCTTGCCGGAGCCTCCATGCTCAACTAGGGCTCAGGCACATGGGGACCCCCTCAGCCAGGTCAGCTCAACCCCTACCCACTTCTTGCCTCATCCAAGAGCTGGGGAATCCCCCCAACAGGAGCTCACATCCCCCATGGACACTGCCTTGGGCCCGGCACCTCAGACTAAACCTCCAGCAGCCTCTGGGGCCGGAACCCAGGAGTCCAGACTACCCCACACGCAGTGCACTGGCCCCAGACTCAGCCCCTAGAGACCAGGCAGCAGCGAGGTTGGCGGGGAAGACCTCGGGCCCGCGCCTGCTGGCCCCAGGGCGAGGGGCCAGCGAGCGGGCACCGGGTGCCCAGGCCCCGCACCTGGCAGCGGCGCCCGCCGCCCCC